AAACACAAGAATAAAGTTTCCATTCAAATTTTCGTCTCTTCTGGCCTGATTCCATCTTATCGATTCCCATTAGACAGTAGTTTCCTTCATGAGATTTTTCCAATAATCTCAGCAATATTGTAATGCTCAAATGAGTATGTTGACTTCAGTAGGATTAAGTTATGAACAAAGATGCAAATTAGAATAAATAACAGAAGCAAGTTCTGTTTCTTTATTTGATTGTTTTTTCCAAAGAAATCAGTGCAGCAATCTCTTTATAAACATCACCTTCTTGTACCAAAAAAAAATCATAGCACTCAGAGTAATACAAAGTCTAATAAAAGGTGATCAAACTGCAATCTGTAGAAGCCTTACACCACACGACACAGTCTGATAGAAGCTTTTTTCCACCTAGCACTGTTTCTACATTTTCATACTGTACTTCGAAAACATACTCCTGCTTTAAAGTTAGAGGCAATATCTTGTGGACCAGACTCTTGTTTATATTGAAAGTGCAACCAATTAAACTAAACCTTGTAATCTGAAACTTCATGGAACAGTAATTTTTATGGCCTGATAAGTAATGGAGACAAACTTAGGTAACCCAGAAAGAACCAGACAGATATATTTATTTAATAGCAAATGTTTACTAGTCAGACTGAAGAAACAATCCTGTCTTTGCCCCAGTACTCTGGAAAGTACTGTGCGCTTATACACATACGAACACAGCGAAAGAGAACAAGGAACATAGTTACAAGAGAACATTAAACCAGTGGATAATTTATCTGTCGCGTTCAGGAAAGCTCAGGGAAGTAAGCCAAAACATGTGAAAACAAGAAAATAGGAGTACTAAACATAAGAAAATGGAGCCAGAGCACTGACTAAAGATAGAGTAGAAACTTTAACCAATATATCTAACACTGATGTAGCTTAAAGGGCTTCTGAAATTCTCCTCAGGATCTTTGCCTACGAACCCAACAGTTCAAAGAGCTCCTGCCAGAGAAGATCTTTGGAAGCATTCCTTACACTGCGCGTACAAGGCAAATTATGGCACTGCTTAAACATACAGCTACAGGAGTAAACACGGATTAGGTTGATCAAAAACATAACAGTACTGCTGTTAGAAAATGCTTACATCTTTCAAGCTAGCTGCAATTATTTCAAGTGTAATGCTTACCTTTAATAGTTTCCTCCACAACTTCTACTACACGATCTATTTGCTGAACCTAAAAAAAGTCAGAAGGTCAATAACTAAGCAGTCAAAAATTCGACATATTTTATACAACTCTTCCTTCAAAAGTGTCCTTCAAGATTAAGGGGGCTCTGTTTTTAGCCCATTTCCTGTGCATCTTGGTTTATCTGTCAGAAGCCCTATAAGAACTTTAAAGCTCCCCATCCAACTTCAACCAAATGTTGTCCTCAAAAATAGTAAGTTCTCGTAAGTTTGGCAAAAATCACCAACTAGAGAGAAAGGAGGGCCCCTATTAGGGCTGTCGGTGAGAGAAAGGCAGAGAGAATGGAGGCCTCAGCTGCTGTGTGTGTGCTGCTTGGTAGCTGAGGGACAGTGGTCAACCAAGCAGGCCACCTGCATGGCCACAGCATATGCTTCCTCCTCCTCCCCGCAGCCTTCAGGCCCCAGCAGCCAAGGATGTAAGAAGGACTGAGGGTGTTCTGAGGGCTGACGGAAGAGGGGCAGGATAGAAAGAGGAAGGGAGAGACACTGCAGTCAAGGTCAAGTTTAGGAGAACTGAGTTTAGGGGAACTGTCCTGAGTTACTGCAGGCAGTTTTTGCAAATGGAAGGAAGATCCTTGATGTTTTTCCACAAAAGACAGAATAATATTTGATGACCATGACATAGCATCTCTAACGATGAAGAGAAATTCCTGTTTTGGTGTCATATTTGCCTATGTTTACCCATAATGTGATAAATAATTTGATTATTTTTTATTAGATAGATTATTCTTTATTTAAATGTAATGAATAATATACTATTTAGTTTTTAACAAAATATTAATTAGAAAGAATCAGCATTAAGACTGCAAAATTCAACATAAATTCTTAAAGTTGAGATTCTTCCTACAACTCTCATCCAAGTTGCATATTCTATGTACTGTCTACTATATGTGCACATATATGTCTATATATTATGCAGGAAAACAAAATATAAAAAATCTACATTGCATATTCAAATTAGTTTACAATTTTCCACAATTTGGCTTTTGAACACTGATTATCTGAGCTATATATTATTTTTGCAGTCCATTCCTTGGAGATTGTTTCTTTGTTTTATTTCAAAAACACACACAAGCACAAGTTGCACAGGCTGCAAGAGTAGAACCTGGTCTGCAATAAGTAGCTTGCAACTTGGATCACTTGCATCAAAGCTATTAAGTCTCTGTGCCCTTAAACCACTGGGTTTGTCATTTCCTGTAAACAAACGTCTGCGCAATCATCTGGATTTCACGTTCATTTTCCAATTGGTCTAATAATAGCTAAAAAAAAGTTTATCTGTAGTTGCTGTCTGATCTAGAGCTCCTCATTAAAGTCAATGGCAGTCTGTTCATTTTCTTGTCTGGGTGTTAGATTAAGTCCATGCTAACCTCTGCATTTTTAAAAAAAATCATTTTAAATATAGTCTTTTCCAAACACAAATCTCTGCCACTTCACGTTTCTGCATATAGAATACTAATTATGAATTCCAGAAATTCAGTTATTTGAAGTATCACTGAGGTTGGCATTTTAATAACTTTATAAAAGAAGATATATATATTTAAATCCTTTTTTGGGATAAAAACAAGCACATATTTTAGATATGTCTGTATAGCAATCTACTCATGTAAATAAAGCACACATAGGAAGCATTCATATGGAACACATGCATATATTATATATATATCCATTTTATATATTATGACCTAAGATACTTACAGATGGCCTTTCTAGTTAATTAAAATTTTTCTAATTAAAAAGTGCAACTTAAAAGCAGAAGTGTAGGCATTTATAATTATGAATACAGACATGGAACACAGTTTGTGCCAAATACACGGCCTAAAATACTGTTGTCACGTATCTCAGTACTAAACCTAAGTTCATAAGCATTTAAAAACAAAGGAAACCTGTTTGTTTTGTAACCTGAACGAACTACAATTATTTCCTGTATTTGAAATCTAGGGAATTTTTGCATAGCTCTGAAACCCTTTTAAATAAAGACATGGAAAAGAAAAAAAAAAAGTATGTTGTATTTTCATTTCACTGGATAAATATTTCTGAATGTATCTGTTGAGAAGATTCTTCATGCAAGTAATTAAAATTGAACCACCCAGAGATGATCATCAGACCTGAAGCTGTAGGTCACCCGTGCACATGCAAGTGTAAGTTGGTCACATTTTGCCCTACTGGGCCCCCGAGGCACCCCAACATCCCCTTGGAAATACGAGCATGGAGGTCTCTGCTCGAGTCCCAGTTACAAAAGCCATAGGAGCAGGAAGAGTATACAGATGCACGCATTGTCCATTCATCATCAACAGAGAAAGCCCCCCAGTTCCCTTTGTAGTGTCATTATCACATTCAACAGATGACTGCTAGATGTAAACAGCCCATAGACATGCTTGTAATGCATTATGTCTGCAGTCTCACACTACGTGATTTGTGAATGTAGACAGACATGCATGTGAGGATGGTCACGCAAGTTCTTCCCAGTGCTCAGACATGACCTGAGTTGTCTCAGAAGCAGAATTAGCATCCTGAAACTGTTTTGCACAAGAAAAACTCCAGAAGAAAGAAAACCTCTGAGAGTCCCTGTAAACGCTAAACGTTTTAGGGTAGTTAAGTGAGAGCTGGCATATTTTACTCTGAGATTTTTGCGCTCCATGGGAAAAGAAAAGCATTATCTAAGAACTTATGAAGGTAAGAGTAAGTTCTTTCCAAGTTTCTCTTCGGGGAAGTGCCAAGCCCTCTGAAAATTCTGTGGACATCTGGGAAGACAAAACGGTAGGAACTTGTAGACTTTGTCCTGATTCACAGTGAAATAATGGTATTTTTATGGTAGTTTTATGTATCCACTGAAGTACGGACAGACATGTTTTGCAGGTCAAGAGATCTGAACGATTCTCCCTCTGAAGCAATAATAGCAGATGTCATGTACAACCAAAGCTGGATAATGAGTAGTGTTAAGCTTCAGAAAAAAATAATTAACTCTTTTTAGTGAAGATTTATATCTATATCTTCACTAAAAAGATATATATAAAATACATACATACATATATATATATTTATTTATTTATTTATTTCTCAGGGTTTTCCCCTGAAGTGAATGCAGTTTCTCAGAGCCTGCTTCACTTCTGCATGAAAAGAAAACTTCTTTCTACAATGGAATGTCTCAAGACAGAATTCATTAAAGCTTTTCTGATTTTGATAGGACAGCTGATAACACCCTAGAAAATACACCTGGAGTTCTCAGTGCCCTTTATCTGGCACTGCTACTGAATGTTCCAGAGATATGAATTTTTCCAGGATAACATAAGCAATGAGAAAGCTCAAACACTGGAAAGTGACTATCAAAAAGTTCTTGAGGCCAGTAAGGGACTCAGTGACATTAGGAGAGAGAAAGACTAGAAATACTGAAGACTTAAAATTCTGGGAATGAAAAAACCTCCAGAATAACAAACCCAAGCCAGAGAGACTCATTGCTGAGAGAACGTGAGGGCAGGGCACCTGGAATTTAGGAAAGCAGCAGTAGTTTGCCTGTACAACTGGAGGCTACTACTGAAACAAAAGCTGTGCGGACTTAGCTGCTTGCTAATACCCCAACTGCAGAGGTACATATACATAACTACTTGAAGTAAAGCAGTCGTCTTTTCCTTATCTAGCAAAAAAACCACTACCTATCTTTAATTTTCATTCATGGACATAAGAAACAAATCAGTTGCTACATAGATAAAATAAGTAAAAGACTCCAACTCTAGTTCACCAATTCTCTTTCATCCCACCTTGTTTAAGCACCTCAGTTGGATGTCAGACGTTAAAAGCCTGCTCAGCCTCTCCTCCCTCTAAAGTCCGTAAAAGGGAGATTCACAACTTCAAAAGCCAGATCAAACCTTCCAAAATCTGAATTTTCTTTGAGATAACTATCTTCATTGACCATAAAGGAATCGAGCAACACAGGCTCTTGAATTACACCACTTTAGTTAGGCAGCATAAATCCAGGCCTTAACACAGAATTTTCAAAGGCATGTGACCAGATGCTTTTACTTCAGTGGGATAACATCTATCTTTAAAAGCTTTGCTGAATTGGAATAATACTGACCAAGGCAATGGATAAAATCCTGATTTAAGAAGGGATCTTGAGAACAAACTCTATAGAGACTTTAAAGGGAAGGAGACTGCCCCAGAAAAACATGTGAACAGTAGATTATTATTACTACTTTGACATAGCTTAAATACAATTTTAATCTAAGGTAATTCTTATACCTTTCGATTCGTAGGACAGGATGTAGCTGATGTAGAAAGGAATAGTTTCTATTTATACACCAAACTTCCAGTTTGAAAGTTGGTGCTTAAATGCAATCCCTTCTTGACTTCTCAGGCTCAAGCATCACACCTGAATAAATATTAACAGTAAGGTAAAAGCCAAAGCCAGTTAGTTGCTTAATACTGATTGACGCAGAACTGAACTAGAATTTTGATCAATTTTTCAGCCGTAAGTTAGAAAAGGACAGTCTGCGTCTGCTCCCTAGGCTTTCAGCAAGCCCTCTGAGAAGTCCTGCCATTTCAAACTATTCAATATAAAATTCCATCAGATTTGTCTTTCATGAAATAGACATTGGACATCAGTATTATACAAGACTCTCTTAGTTTTTAAGGGTAAGAGAGAGTCTTGCAATCATTAATGCAGTGTAGCCTTACAAGCACTGCAAGGTAGGTAAGTATCGTTAAATGATGTTTGCAAAACAGAAATAAACTGTATGACACGAATAATTTTAAATGACATCAGAAATATAATGCATCATATCATCCTAATTTAGGACACTGTTACAGTAGGAGTGTACATGCATTTGGGTAGAATTACACTGATTTTTGTTCACAATAGCTCTGTTAAAGCACTTCACTGAGCAGAGCTTTACAAATAGAGAACTGAGGCACATTAAAGTCTATATCAGCTTTTGTACAACTTGAGAAGCCAAGTGCCTAATTCTTTTTTTTTTTTTTTTTAAATGTACTTAGCATTTTATACCAAACTACGCATCTTATAGTAGTGCTAGTAGTGAAGTGTGTTGCTCCTGGGAGTGTTCAACACTTCCACAAATCACAATCCAGAATTTCAAAGTAGATATTTAAATATTAAAAGTATCTAAGCTTGTCTTAGAATAGACCAGGTACAGAAAAGGGTTATTAGGAGCTCAGGGGAATAGAGGGAGCCCCTGCACAGAGTTACAAGATTATAGTATGTTTCTGCAGGAAACAGTGGTTTCAGGCTCGAAGAGCCTGCAGTAAACCTAATACGTAAAGAATCTGCACATTCTGACTCTGTGTGTGGCAGCAGAGGTGGGAATAAGGAGCTGGTGAAACTAGATAAACTTTGTGTACACATGAAAATGGGGTGAAACCCTTACCTTTGGAAATGGGTCTATGGCAGAAGGAAGACGACAACTGGGCTATGATCCTAGGTCTTACTTTAGGAAAGATGGGGAAGTAAGCAGGATTTAGGGTTGACATTCTTATACAGGAAGCTAGGGGATTCACGCATCTGCACAGCTACTGTATGTCTTTAACAAGATACACCTGTGCATTAGGCCCCATGCATGGTGACACAGTAGCACACTTGTGTCCAGTAGGTCTGATGACTTCAATGTACAGGCGGAGCACGACTGTGAGGCATTTAACGTCTGCGGACCCTTAGCAAACTGGTCAAGGCTCTCACATGTAGTACCACCCAGCACACCAAATATCTTAAAGCTCTAGACAACCGTCAAGGAAACAAAACACCTCATCCCATTCCAACCACCCAACATATCACTGGGAACCAGGCCTGGCTGCCCTCTGTATGCAGCTCAGAATTAGAAAACACTACAGGTACCTACAACCATTGAGGAATCCCTGAGCTTAACCTATTTACTAAATCTTTCACTCCCTTTTCTCCCTTCCTTCCCTTCCACTGCCTCTCCATCCCCTGACATCCCCCTAAATAATGCACCCAGACGAAGATATATAGCCTCCTTTTTAACAACTTAAAATGAAAAGTGAGTGACAACTCTAACTATGGATGTTGATATTTCTCTTTGCAATACCATGTGCACTTGAGTCTGAAATGGGTGCTCTGCTCAAAAAGGAGCAGGCTCTGAAAACCACCTGGGTGTAAACGGCTGCGAATCCGTATTATGCGCTGCCACATATTTTGTGTACACTTCATAGTCTATCAAAAATGGACTGTTTGACAGACACATGCAGAAAAATTCTAACTACTGCTTGCATCTTCCTACCTGGATAACAAGGGCCCTTATTTACCACAAATCAAACTGAATCCCAAAACAAGAAAAAAATATAACTTTATAGTACACCTAGAATGTTTCTGAAGCTACACAGATCTTCAGAACAGCCTCTTTCAAAACCTGCAAGGACAGGCTCCCATTCCATGCATTTTAGTCCCTGCTCATTAGCCTGTAGGACTGCTAGCAGACACTCTAGTGTGATGAGGGTTTACAGGGTTTGTTATACGGAGGAAGGATGAGAACAGGAACTGCAGAGCCTGGATTTCCCAATCAGGTATGGCCCTTGGCCCTCCTTGGTCAGCTTCCACTCTGGAGCTGTAGTTCTAACCTGCCAGCTAAGAAGTATCTAAATTCCACATGCTCTGAGTTTATTCCCACCAAGAGCTTCCCCCTTCCCTGGAAATAGTTCCTTTATCTGTGCTGTGTTATGCTATGGCTGAGTTTGGCTGTTTGGACATACAGCCTATGTCCATTTCCCAGTGTACACTGTTTTTTTTTTTAAAGGTAGTAATAGCATTAAAGAAACATAAAAGCAAAGTAGGGTCACAAATGGTAAATCTCTGTTTCAGAGCCCTTCCTTCCCTTCTCCCAAATCCAACAATGCAAGTTCAGTATTGCACTTTCCAAACACGGTTCAAAACACTAAACGCACATCAAAACAAGCCCTCAGTCACTAGCATTTTGCTGGTAGTTACACTGCAACTTCCTCCTTTGTCATATCCAGATGAGCAAGAGCGCTCTGACACAGTTTGCTTTTATAAAGCCATCCCAAAGGAGCTATCACTGTTAGTAATAGTAAATAACCACATTCTCAGACAACGTGGTTCGAGGGAGGGGGAAAAAAAAAAAGCAGCACAGCTTACATAATCAACAATAAATCAGTCATCTGTTAGCCAAGACAAAAAATGAGATCAACCTGGTGGTAAAGCAAGATTTCCACAACTGTTGTCTTAATGTTTACAATTTTAGAGCATATCAGTATCCAGCTGCCAAGAGAACATTTCCTCTTTCCCAGTTCTGTCAAAACTGCCTTTCAAAAACATTTTAACTGCAGTAAGATATTAGCTCTTCTTTAAAAATAGTCAACCCCCTCACATACTTTTTATAAAATGAGAAGATCTTACATATACAAATCGGAAACGCAGGCAATATCTCCTCCCTACTTTGCTTTTGTTAGCAGTTATGCCTAAAGATTAGGCATTTATGAGTTTAAATATCCTTCACTTAAAGCACGGTAAATTTTATAACCATAAAAATGACAGTTAGCAGAAAGTATGTTTATTAGGAAGATTATATTTTCATGTTTTCAGGTCCAAATCACAGTATTTGGAGCACTGCATTAATGATCTTATTAAACACCGAACAGGAATCTGGCCCTTACAAACTCAAAACTGCAATATTTTTATTAATCACTGATTGCAGGTACCAAAATTAGGATGAAGAAAAGAGGTAAATTTTCACATAAGCATGTATTACCTGAAAGGAAAATTGGGGGCGGGGGAACAAACTTTGGGTTCTCTGTGTTTCTGAAGTTGCATTCTCCAAAAATGAAACATCAAGTCACAGTCATGGTCAAAGGATAATCATGTAATATACTTTCTACCTCTGCCTTCATATGCGTCACAAATCTTTATATTCATTATATTGAACAATTACAGCTCACATAACTGTGTTGCTTCCAAGCCAAGAGGAAATTCATTCAGCATTTATTTCTTGTTATTCCCACCCTGCCATGTCGATTAACTTGCACTTAGTTGGAGTCTTAGAGATTACAGAGCAGCAAGATTCCCTCTCATATATTTGTATAAAATAAGACTATGGAACGGAATGGAAAGTTTGTTTCTTCCATCAAATTGTAGCTTACCATGCATTGTTGTCTAACAGAATAACGTGGCGTTTTCCAGCCTCTGAACATCATTTATGAGCACTGAGTTAATTTATAAGCATTAACACATAGCTGAGAACCACAGTTGAGGAAAAAAAATTTTTTGGAAGACAAAACATTCTGAGGGTCAGCAGTAATTAGACTACTAAATAGCACAAAGCCTATCTTTACAAAAAATTACCATAAATTGGGTAATGAAGCCATCTTCTACCTAAATACAAACAAAGTATGACTTTAATTCTAAATTACTTTGTTCAACTGCATCACGTATGTAATTCTTTTAAAGAAAATAAATGATTTGCAGTTTTTGCTGCTGCTGTTCATTTAAAATCTTAGTTTTGATCTGAACTCATCACGCTGCTGCAGTGAAGATATGCTGACTTCTCTACATTTTTAATGCCAGAAAGATGTTGTACAGTCACCTGCTCTGGCTTACATAATACAGGACAACTTCACCCTCTAATTCACACGCACTGAATCCAACAACAGAGTTTCAACTAAAACGTTCCTTTTACAAATTCATTTAGTTTTAATGTAAAGGCTTAAACGATGAAGAATCTTTGTTAGCTTATGCTGGGACTATGTGTCCCAGATTTTCATGACAATTTTACAAAGCTGATTCAGTTATACAGTATTATTTCATCCCAAAGGATCCTGAAAACACTTTACTAGCTGAATTATGTCAAAAGCTCTCTGGCTGCATTCAAGGTGAAGCTTGGTAACTATTTAACACTTCATTTTCAGACAAACTAACTCTTTAGGCAGCCTCAAATTTCAATAAAATAATCATCACCATTTGCCGTTCTGCTTAATAGCATGAAGTAAAAAATAAGCCCTCAGTTGCGTCTGCATAGTTTATATGCTTCAGTCTTTTACGTTTCTTTCATCAATTTTAACAAAGCATGTATTCCTTTGTCTTAGTGCAAATAAACTCTGATATATTATAGAGTGCAATAATGGATATCTTCACCCCCCTTCAGGCTAGAGAGAAGACTGAAGCTCAAATCTCTCCTCAGGATCCCTTTCCTTTCCCCCTCACTCCACAACCAAACCAAATCTCCATGGATGTAAGAAGGCTTTAAGTGCAGTTTAACACAAGATTACTAACAGAGGCATCAAACTATCCACTGTTTCTTCCAAGCAAAAGGTGGCAAAGCCTATCTATTGACACTGAAAATTTTATGAAAACCTTTGATTTCTGAGCGTATTTTTCCCTGAACCCGAGATCCTCTTTCCAAACATTATACAGCTTTCCAGTTGACCAAGATACATACCCCTATAATACTAAGGCCTTTCAGATAGTCCTGACGAGGCTGGGCTTGCGGAACGCAGCCTGCTAGAACCACCTTCTTGTTCCCTTCTTGGGCTTTCCTAAGAAGAAGGAGAAAAAAAAAAGATAGTATGTCAATACTTCCAAAATTGATCATTTTCGATTTCAGAGTAGCCCTACCGCACACGTTACAGAGAAAGGCGCACACACACAATTGAAAACATCCCAAAATCAAAATTTACTTGTACATGTTTGAACCTCAGAAACGAGAAAAAAAGATACAAACAAAAACAAACATATAAAACTATCAGGATACAGCACACATGGCACAGTTTCTAGAGTATCTAAAGTGAGCATTACCATTGCATATCTTGGACAAAAGCATAAACTTGAAAGCCCACTTAAATTCAGTTAATCTTTAATTGCCACAGTGATGGCAGAGAAGCTAGTCAAGGAAGACGGGATACATATTTTAAGCAAGACTCAAGATAAGTCATACAGAATATAAGGCATGTCCTCCGCAAATAGGAACCATTAGCTCTGAACATGAGCATTTATTTAATACTAGTTAGAAATGATCAATTATATCACTCTTTCAAATTTTTATTAATAAAATTGGATTGAGCCTTTTCAAGCTTGAAATGTTGCCTGTGGCAGATAAATATTTATGTGAATATCAACTTATGCAATTCCTTAGCTGTGATACTAAAACACTAGCATTACCAAAACACTAAGATTAACTAGTTAGTATCATTCATTTCCTTAGCAATACTTTGACTCACTTTAAATCCAATACTGAATATTAAGCCATCCCTGAACCTTGCAGCCAGAGGAAGCACTGACTAAAAGTTATCAGCTGCATACAAAACAGCACTGACAATAAACAAACATGGGATGCAAAACCTGTTTATGTTCATTTAACTTTGAAGATCAACCAATAAAATATTAAACCAATTACTACACTATATTGTGCAGAACAATAAAGAGGAGGACTCAACAATTTTAGCAGATTTAATAGGTCTCACATGTTATGGGTTGCTCCAAGAACGGCCTTTCACAGTTGCATGCTAAATCACAACCGCCTGGCAGACTTCTGCCAAACTGGAACCTTGTATATCTTTTTTTTTTTTTTCCTCCCTACAATACACAGATTCCTGAAGTGTTCACTGTTACAATAGAATAAGGTAATCACAGGGTAGCTTCACAAAGGTTCTCTTATCCACAATACCCAATTGCTTATACAATTATTCACTCTTTGCCTTGCTTGAGCTGCCTCAAACCTGAATGCATTAGAGAAAGTGATGCTCCACACGCACAAGGATGCTGTATTGAATAATATAGAAATCTCCAGCAGCTGCAAATTTTTTGAGGGAAAATTTTGTAAAAAGGGCCTAGTACCACAAGCAGTTCCCCTATTCACTCAGAATTTTCACTTTGTAATGATAAAATGGAGAAATCTGTTTATAAATTACAGCTGAAATTAAAGGACGATCTAATTTATCTTTCAAATAACACAGGATCATAACATTAAAGGAGATCACAGGCCACCTTCCCAAATATCTTGTGCTGCCTGCTGCTCTAAACATGAGGTATTTCGAAGGAACAGATGAAATATCCTATACACAGACAAATGTGAAGTAACAGGAAAATGCAATATGCTCATTACATCCTATCTAATATAAATGCACTAATTATCGCCATAAAATTTTGAGTCATCTTCTAGTGGGAATTTCAGGAAGTCTTCAGGCATTCGTCACTGGTCCTCCACTTGCAGGCTAAGGTACACAATATACATGCAAATCCTTTCATCTCTTCCTTAATAAAATTGCTATGGATAAAGAACTATAATGAAATGCTAAGTTAGCCTATTTCTTAAGCATGAAATTAAACCAGCAACGCATTTGTAAAATCAGTAATCCTTCTTTTCTTTTAGTGGTAAATATTTAAGGATTTTACAAAATTACAGTGGAGGTCACCTTTTCTCCACATCCAGTTTAGAAAGTCTACTTTATGCATTTCCTAAAAATATCACACACTGCCATGTGACAACTCAAAGCATAAAAACTACTACCTGTGTCATCTAACAGACTCATCCTAATGCCTCAAGGCAAGACAGTAAGACCGGTCTCCAGCAAACAAAGCACACATCCCTAGGCAACTGTGCATCTGGTATAATCTGCTACTAGCAACAGCCTTCTCCATCTACTTGGAAACCTGCAAGAGCTACAGAGGAAGAAGTTTTTATTAAAGTCTTTTTATCTGAGAAAAAATTAAACAAACAAACAAAGTTTCCCTTGACACATTAAATGGCATTTTAATGTTATTTCATTGCTTTTAACATTTTGCCAGATCTGCCGGGACTATAACTGAAGCTACAGGAAAAAAAGTTAAACTGAATATTCTTCATAACAAGCATTGGCTTCCTTTAACTTTTTTAGCACTGTACAGGTCTCTATAGAAGAAAGAATTTTGTACACTGAGATTTTTTGCCTTAAACAGTAACTAAGCAGAAATGTAGGAACTAAATATTCAATTATAGTTAATTTTTATTACCATTCATAATACAGTGTGCAGTCCACGAAACCCATCATAAATGAAAAACCATAGTAAGGAAATTATAATTTTTTTACCTCATTTTTTCAAGAAACCACTTCTGAAAACATGCGCTACAGTACTATATTGTTACCTTCTTTTAATATTGTTTAATGAGCCCTGCTCAGATTAACAAAAGCTCATAAAAATTATTCTTCAGAAACCTAGTTAGCACAGCAACTGTTTTAGAAAAGCTTTTATCCTTCAAAAACATGAATAGTAATGAGAATAATACCTCGTAGAAGCTAACAGTGCCATGAATAAATACATCCTCCTTTATATTTTTCAATTGCATGAACCTTACCTTGAACTTTCATTTTAATTGTATCAGGATACCTTTTCTCAAAACACACTCCTTTCTAAAAATGACTTGCAAGATATACATCTGAATAGAAATTTAATTAGAGCAATTCTTTTTTAAAGAAAAGACTTCTTTAAGGTACTTCCTAAGTAATGGGTGAGGAAGGGGGAAAAAAGTCCTTCATACAGAGAAGGACTGTAGCAAGACCACATACATTGCATGTGTCGCACTTAATGAAATATTTTCCATGCATTCCACTTTTTACAAGGTAAACATGAAGACACAGCTAGTATGGGAGGAAACTTCTGCCTTGCTTATGAAGACTTCTATTTATGTTATTAAGAACCTGCCAAAACTGGAATATTCTGCTCATGATTGTATGTTTTTTTTTTAAAACTCCAAGAAGATCTGTTCAATAAGATGCCTGTGATAAAGAAATGTTCCCCAAGACCCCCAAAAGCCCCCCACAACTGTTTGTTATATCATTAGTGCAGATGCAACAGCCCTGCTGGATATGATTCATGGTAGCTGCTGCATAAGCTGTATGACTTTTTCGAGACTCATTCTGCTACTTAGGTAAAATCACCACAGGAAAAAAAGGAATTGGGGACCTTTCCTTGAGGTTCAAACCTAGGTAAAGCGATACAAAAGAATGAAAGAGCAGAGAAGATGAGCTAAGTTCAATGGAAGGCAAAACTGGGACTTCAAAAAATAATTGCAGACTTCCTCTTTGCAGAGAGGGCAGGTAAGAGAAGCCAAATTACTCCTTCCCTGCTCCCTTCCCTTCCCATAAGCAGGATTGTCTACTGCAATCTTACAGGCCCGTGAACTCCTAAGCAAGTTATTCTTAGCTTTCAGCGAGTCACCATTACTATTTACCAACATATGCACAGGAATGCATGGCAGATATCTGAAATTAAAAGCAGTCTGTTCCGCAGGGAGCAGAATTGGCAAGCTAAAGTACTGTTCAGCATGAAACAAGTAATTTCTAAACTGCTGCTGTAATATTATGTACGTGAAACCAAGTACTACGCTGCCTTGTACCTTATGAATGGAAGTGTTAACGTCATCGTTTCTGGGCCATTACCAAAGCAACAGAACGTACCAATTCCTACACAACACAAACTACGTGAATACAGAATCAAATAAATACCAAACTCTACCTTCTCTCCCCTAAAAAAAGGTAAAATCAAATAATGAAGATGAATAGTGAGCAGAAGGTAGCTTGCACCAGAAGTACTAAGTACCAGTCAAATACAAATAAGAGCAGAAGTGAGGGGGGAAATTTCAGCAAAAGGAATAGATGAGGGGGAAAAAAGTGCTCTACAGTGAGCTCATTAAGTTTTTTCACTGATGGCAGTTGTAAATTGTTCACCAAATGATAATAGGAGAAACAATTTCCAATGATAAAAGACAATAGGAAGTATCTTTGCTATCTGAAAAGAAATCAGAAAGGCAGTAATTCTAACTCAGTCCTACCTAGGGGGATGGCAGTTGACTACACAGTTAAAGACATTTTTGTACCAATGAACTATTTCTATAAAATATAGTGACACACCCTCCCATGACTGTACCCGCACAAACGTAGCAACCTTCATTTTAACATGCATGTTCTTAAATAAAATTGTGCAATGCACCATAATAGTTTACTCATGTCATTCTCATGACCTGTCATTACACAAAAAAAAACAGAACACCCCTTACCTGGCATTTTACAAAGGTGTGAAGCCATAAATTGACAAGAAGTTTGCATCTAGAAATCCCCTAAGAACCATTAGTATACTGGAAAAAGTTAGCTAAGGCAGCTCTGCCTGTCTACTGTATGATTTGGGTACCTAATGAGTTCAGTCTGCAAAAGGCTATGAAAAGTAAAGCTGTGGGGAATACTGCTTCCTAGGCTGTAGAAATGATGTTGTGATGTCTCTGGAGAGAAACAAATGCTACCTGGTTAAAGGTTCAAACGTGTGAAAGATCAGCTGACTGCCTCTGCTGCTGAATTAATCAGCAG